TCTGAACATAAATGGCTTCTGCTTTGAATGTAGGCGACAGGATCGAACTGCGTTGGGAAATGATTGAGGTATACGATAGATCACCCGAAAAGATCTAGATTTATCTACAATATGACCACTATCAACCAGGTGTGCTAAGATCGAAATGCGTATTATTTTTGACTCACCCTTCTTTAACTATGCTGGGAGATGTTGACTCATTCGTTGGTTAAGTTGCCTGGTAGTACGCCCGATATATGTATCTCCACAGGAGCAGCTGAATTTGTAAATGTACATAGAGGTGGCCAACTCAGGTAACATATCCTTCGTTTGGTTGACTTGAGAAGGTCAACGCAAGTTTGGCTGCAATGAATGTTCTATTAATTGCTCTCATTAATCTGCCCTGCAGAGTATCGCAGGCCACATCTCCGTTGAATTGTAACTTCATAAATAAATATTCATGTAAATTAGAGTAAAGCCTGATGACGATCTAATCGAAAACAGCAGTATCGTTCGCTTATATTTGTTGTTCTAACAACAAAAGTCGCTGGTTTTTTAACAAGTTGTAATTTCCAACTTCTTAATTGTTTGTTTTATAAACTTTTGCCCAAAATTGTTGCTAGAATAGCACTGAGAGTGAGCAAGTTTCGTGTTGCATTTCACACTCCTCCCATATTTATATCACGTTACCTGTGTTTGTCATGATGAATTAAGTTTAACGGTAGTATTTGGTCTGAACACAAAATCGTGTAGGTTTGAGTTGTGTATCAATATAGATTTTACTAGATCGCTCACTTCTGTGTGCAACATTTAACAACACTCAGTCACTGCATTGGTTGACTTAAATGTCGACTGATTCAATTAATTGTGTTTGTATGAAGTGGAATATTCTCATGTATCAATGATCTACATGTATTCGATGAAAACCGTTTTTAATTTGTCAAAAATATAGAATAATAAAATGAAAAACTCGAATTCAGCTACAATGAGTCGATCATACATACTCGTCGATTGTAGTTTCTTGTGACTGGAAGTGAGTAGGAAGTGAAGTTTGGACAGTGGGCACACCTTACGAATGCGTTTCACCACCAAACATCGATTAAGAGTTTTTGTGTGAGAGACATCAGATTTGAGAATGTCAGGTGAAAAATGACAGAATTTTCTATGTCACTCAATCTAATCTCAGCTTCTGGTGTACATGCGTAATATTAGTCCAGCACCAGTCCGACTAAGAGGTGTGTAGTGATCGAGTGTCTTTGCAATTTCAGTGATGTGGTGAATATGATGTCTGTGTGTTGGTGGATCGATGTTCGGTGAAGTCTCGATAGGAATGTGAAGCGTTTTTGCTGAACATCATCCAGAGATGTGGAGATGAGATGTGAAATAGTCAATGGAAGAGTTATTATGTTGCACAGTGCTCCAATCTGTACGAAATAAACACGAACTTCGAATGAAGAGGGTGGTGATTTTTCAGGGCTTTACTCCGATATATATATTCAGACAATCTGTTAGGTAGAAGTATGTTCTGTTCACAGGTAGAATAATAATTGCAGATGTGAGTCGTGATGAACCGAGTTGATCACGACTTCTGTGAATCATAACGAACAGCCATCTCTTATGAGTTGTACTGACGATCGTATTATTGGAGTGAGATGCATGCAAGGAACGTGATTAGTGAATGATAGAATGCGCTGGATGACAGACGGAATCGGAAATCAGTATCGGTTGCAGTTTTTCCATTTTCCTACAACTAAACTCTTGATTGAAGTTGTGTTTCATTTGATTCAACTGTACAACTTATACGTTCGAACACTGATCTCCATGTTTACTTTCTAAATGTCATCGATACTACTATTAATATACATATTTAGCAAAGTATCGTGTCAATGTTTCAATGTTTGTGTTATGTGTTATAAGGATTTGAGTCTATACACATTGTGAAATATCCATAGTCGTTTTTGGCTGCTGGTTCATCAGTCAACTGTATTGAACATTTGAACACACTTAAATATTTCAAATGAAACTGAGTAATCTGTTGGTGATTGACTGTGTGATATTTAAATTCGTGTATATTTTAGTGCTCAACCTTACTTTTGTCAGTGCATGAGCATTGCATGCATGCCAAGATTGTGACTCTTCAACTGTGAAAAATAATTTGTAAGCGAACTGACAATCCATAGGTCTATCATTTAGCCTACACATATCTAGAATTTAGATTGTCTCAGCGTTTCATGCATTGACCTTAAAACTCTGAAACTGATCAAATCAGTTTAATGCAACAATTTGAGAACTGTTGATTTTGATACAGAGATTCGTTAGCTGTTGTGGACGTTAGATCTCGACAACTCATTTGAAGAAGGTCCTAATTTTGGATTTTGCGTTTTCACACATGGTCTGTTCAGTTGACCTTCAGAAAACACTTTTTACTCAGGATTTGATTCAATACACATTGTGAGATATACATAGTCGTTTCTGTCTAGGGATTCATCAGTCAACTGTAATGAACATATGAACACACTTGAATATTTCAAATAAAACTGAGTGATCTGTTGGTGACTGACTAAGTAATGATATTTAAATTCGTGTATATTTTACAGCCAACACTTTGATTCGTTAGTGCATGAACATTGCATATATGCCAATGCGAGTCCGAAAATGATCATGACTCGTCAACCGTAGTACATAATTTGTAAGCGAACTGACAATCCATAGATCTTTCATTTAGCCTACACATCTCTAGAATGTAAATTGTCTCGTCGTTTCATGCGTCCACCTTAAAATACTGAAACTAATCAAGTCAGTTTAATGCAACAATTTGAGAACTGTTGATTTTGATACAGAGATTCGTTAGCTGTTGTGGACGTTAGATCTCGACAACTCATTTGAACAAGCTCCTAATTTTGGATTTTGTGTTTTCACACATGGTCTGTTCAGTTTACCTTCAATAAACACTTCCTACTCGGAAAATCCTTGACTTTGTCATCTTAGTACTCTATTTTTGTGTCTCTCCGAAGGACGTTTCTCTCATGTATTAAAAAACTCGATTTGTGTGCTAGTCAATCTCGTGATTCTGTGTGCTTGTAGGATACACTTTCCACGTCTTGTCAAGAATTCTTCTTACAGTCAGCAGGGTCGGGGACAACGGATTAGAATAACCTATCGTGTCACTGTATCATTGCTTCGCTCTCGTTTACGGATTAAAATGAACTCGTAATAGCATTCAAGCATATCAATTGGCATTGAGACTTCTCATTCATACTCACAGGTGAAATCTATTATAAAGTTACTTTGCTTTTCTTAACACACAACAACTACGACTGCAACGACAGTCATTCGAACACGAAATTTATCATTAATCAGAACATTTGTAATTACAATGAAAATCCAGTCGATTGGATTCATTGGATCTCAACTAAGTGTATAGAATTGGTTGGTTGATTCACTCCAACTATTCTCTATCGGTTAATTTAAAAATGTCTGATCGAATCATTTTGACATTGTTGATAGGATTGTTTGTTCCAATGTTTGTTTTCGAAATGAGATTGTTGATATATACGGGCTATCATTGTGACAATGTAATAGTGACCAGCATTAAGTTAATTTTTTTCATAACACACATTGTATGACATTTATTTGCCTTTGAGATGAAATGATACTGGTGGGCTTGATTGAGAAGACTGTTTGAATTGTTGCTTAGGTAAACAATCAGATTGTTATTTGGCCATGTGTCCACCAGATACACCTATAAATATGAGTGAGAATGGAAACGAGTTAAGAATTCTCATAACATTCATTGTCTTCGAGTATCATCTCTTGTGAATTCAAGTAAGTGAGATAAAATGGTTTATGATGTTCATATTTGTTGGTAGCTGTCTAGTTTTTATCATCACATAGTGATTGTCTGTCAAATAGAAAGAGGCTATTTGATCGAAATCTACTTTGATAAATCATCTCCATTTATTGTATGAAACATAATGATGTAGTTTAGTGTATTTTGTTCAATAAAACTCTACAAATTACATCACAGAGTGTATAGTATTGCACGGTGACGAATGTCTGTCCGACTAACCTATTGACTTGACTCATGTTGTTCTATGAGAATGGAATGGGATTTTCACTGAAATAATCAATGAGTTCAGTGATGTCGACTGTAACTGTCTGTATGTGGCCGCTATGAGTGATCATTCTCCAAATTAAATTTCACGTGTATTATCTTACACGAATCCAGACATCACATTAGAAAAGTGGATTTGTGATAAAAAAAATGGTGTTGAATGAATTAGATAATTGTAAACATCGTAATTCTGGTAGACCGATGAGATGAATTAATCTTGATTTGATTTGAGTATGTTGATCAGTCAGTTGACATCTGAAGCATGTGGAAGATTAGAGAGTTGCGATGAATAGTGTTTATCGATGATGATGTATTTATGCAGTGGCACAATATCACTAGTGTTGACCTTGAGTTGCACTAAGTAAGAATGAATTAAATGTGTCCTACTTGTTCACTCGTGATTAGTTGGAGGAAGCGATCAACTTCATTGTCGAATTCCACTGAATAAATTTGTGAAGCTCACACAATTGGTTTATGTGTGAATGAATAGTGTGATAAGAGGAGTGTGTAGACAGTGCATGTTTTCAGTGATATTCAGTCAGTTGGATAGTTTCAATTTAGACTTGACATTGGTTGAAATGAATCCGTATAAATACAAAACTGAATAGTCTGTTGAACATTAGTTTCAACTTATTATACTAGTAAGAGTGAGTGAGTGAGTGATTGATTGAGAAAGTTTGGTGATTGGTACATGACATTCAACTTGTAGTGACTTGTCGTCATCACTGTTTGAATAAACATGAATTCTATGTTTTCTATCTCACTTTTAGATCGATTGGAATGATGAGAAAACAGATGTCCATATATTTGAGTGTGTTGTTAATTTTGGTTGTGTACCATGATGCAGTGGAGTGTGCAGTAATGAGAAGAAGGGGTATGTTTAACAGAATACCTGATTACGAGTCAATAATGTCCTACCCTGGAGCCTCGTACGACTACGGAGTCCAACAGAGTCAATGCGGGGGGAATGGCGAACATCCACCTTCTAATTATGAATTCGAAGGACCAGCATTAGCAAATTATGGTGAAAACACTGGTTATCCTATGTATTCAGACTATCAGATGCTAGATCAACAAATTTATGCACATGGACCGAATGTTCATACTGATGCTCCATCAATGTATGAACTAGAGAATCCATATACAGATCAACAGTATTATGAACCTGTAACTGTTGGTCCACCAATGTAATATGCATACTTACAATGAACTTTAAGTGTTGCTTTTTAGTTGAACTACTTCACAAGTAACACATTTTGATAATGTCAGTTTGTTCAATTTCACAATAAAATATATATTTTGTGGATAATAAGTTGTTATTTTGATGGGTTTGTTTTCTGTTGTTGGTTGCAATGAAACGGATAAATAGAAATGATCGATATCTGACAATGTACTCATCGAAAATAACATGATGAATAGTTATTGTGTTAGGTCGAGAACATTAATGTGTCTGAAAGGAGGTTAGTATTGGTGAGTGTGTTGTTGACTAACGAATATCATTTGTTTGATTAACTTTTATTCCATAGTCGATTGTTGTGATGAGGACGATGATGATGATAATCAATGGGGGAATAGAGGACAACAGTTTCGTTGTTTTATAGGATGAATGTAGATGGAAATATCTGTGTAGTGCTTGTTGAAGTTTAATGTTTGTCCAACCGAAGTCACATCTTGTTTTGAACTATTATAAATTTGCCTAAAACTAGATTAAGTTCATGAATAAAATTGAAAAAGTCATGTAAACATGATGTGTTCTTGGAATTACAGTTAACATGTTATGTCTCAGATAATGTAACTGTAGAATGTTTTTGTAATTCAAGGAGAGTTTTCCTTGTTTCTTCGTTTGACTAATATGGTATTTAGTTTCATTAGTGTTTAGTGTATCTACAGTGGAGTTAGATTTATTGAGCGTACAACCAAGAGTGTATTTATATCGTCGAATGACCAGAAGACATGAGAAAACTGTCGGAACATGCAATCTAGTGATTATTGGAATGCACAGAGTTCACTTTCAAGTGTCATGCATGATTTCGAATATTAGTTCTATGATGGATTTTTGTCAGATATACTGTCTAGGTAAATTGACTGATGATTCGATAGGAAATATGTTTCATTTAATCCTTGGTTACTTGAAGCCATAAACTGTTTTTGTCAGAATTGTCGTGTATTTTGTTTTTTCATCTTTCGAGTGTAAATAAATATGACTATTGGTATGATTTTCACGACAGTGCTGTCTACATACTTACTTATCTACTTACTTACTTACTTACTTACTTACGCCTGTCACCCCCGATGGAGCATAGGCCGCCAACCAGTCTTCTTCAACTTATTCTCTTCTGGGTTTCCCTTTCCACTTCTGTCCAATTTTTGTTCATTCCTCTCAGATCTTTCTCTATTTCTCGGTGTAATGTGTTTCTTGGCCTTCCTCTTTTCCTTGATTCTTGTGGGTTCCAAGTGAGGACTTGTCTTGGAACGCAGTTGGGTGCATTCCTCAGTGTGTGTCCTATCCCCTTCTACCGCATCTTCCTGATTTCCTCCTCCGCTGGAATTTGGTTTGTTCTCTCCCAACAGTAGGTTGTTGCTGATGGTTCCTGGTCAACGGATGGTGTCTACATAGTCAGATAGTTATACATTCACTCATACAATTAATACTGAGATCCTCCAAATGATATGAAATCAAATCTAATGTTTAACATTTAGTTATCTAATAGTTATTATTGTAATAACAATTCATGAATTGATTTGTGGTGGCCAGTGTCTCACCAGTTTTTTGTCAGTCTGTAGCCGATATGATTTCTTGGACTTCGTATACTGCTCGTCTTTTCACAACTGGTACTAAATAACGCTCAACGGTGTATAAATCAAAAGACGAATACGAAGCGTTGAATGCGTTTATTTTTACACCACAAACAGATCACCAAAATCAACAGTCACATGAAGCAAAAGTGATATGCGGATGCCGAAGATCAAGCGAGCGAGTGAGACTATGAGTAGAATTAAAATGTACATATGCATACATAGAAAAATGAATGAGCACCTACAAACCGATTGTTGAACTAGAATTTGGTAGTGTGAGGTTTTGAATGGGTGTCACTAGTTTCGCTTTTAATGGCTTACTGAGAAGTCCGCTAGCTTTTCTCTTAGTTCTATCCATAACTAACTCCTTTCGCTCATTGCTTCTCACACTGCTCCAACTCACGAGGTATAACGCTGTAGTGGAACGCTTCTATGAAGAAAATACGATTTGTGAAAAATAAACATTATTGTACATCTTTTGTTTAACTGTACCAAAAACACTTCTACGACTTCTTGCGCGCAACGTTCTCTTCGCGTTGCTGCCATCTTTATCTAATAGCTGCTCCCCATGTAATGCCGACGTTCTCCTTCAATAAAACCATGGAATATGGATTTATGTTGTTTTGCTATGAGTCACGACGGGATATCATGGAACTGTTAGTGGTGAGCATAGTCAATCTGTTATCTGGATTCGCTCACCACAACGCATTGTTGGTTAACATGTCGAATCGATTCGGAATAGGAGTTTCGAATAGTACGAGAAGCACTAATTCAACGGTAATCGGATATGAGGTTACCACGGAAACTGTGATAAAATAGCAAACTATAGGATATTTCATTTTCCTCTTGGTAGAATCACCTTGTCAGTCTTCATCTTATGAATTCGTTCAAATTTGTAAGATTAGTACAACTCAATTAACTTTACTTACGCCTATTACCCACAATAGAGCATAGGCCGCCGACCAGTATTTTCCAAACTACTCAGTCCTCGGACTTCCTCTCCAGTTCTATCCAATTGCTGTTCATTCTTCTAATGTCCGTCCCCATTAGTCGGCGTAATGTATTCTTTGATGTTTCTCTTCTCCTTTGGCCTTGAGGATTCCAAGTGAGGGCATGTCTTGTGAAGCAGTTGGATTCTTTCCTCAATATGTATCCTATCCACTTTCAGTGATGTTTCCTCATTTCCTACTGAACCGGAATCTGGCTTGTTCTCACCCGATGTATGTTGTTTCTGATAGTTTCTAGTCAACGGATCCTCAGTATCTTGATCAGGCAACTGTTAATAAATACTTGAATCTTCTGAATACAAATATTAACAGTAAAAGTAATAATAAGAAAGATTTTCTTGTATACTTTTATATAAAATGACGTATTCTCAGCATGATCATTCTATCCATACTTATCAGTAAACCGAGTTACTGTTACTGATCAATTCAAAATCGAAACATTAAACAAATACTGTTCATGTAAAGTATGATTGAGAAACTTACGAGAGAAACTTCTATTATAATTAGTTACACACTACTCATAGACACATGTAAATAGGAAATGATCATTAAGTTTCGTTTCTCAGCTGACCTCAACAAACTTGAGAATAGGTTGTCAGTAGCGTCATATGCTTTGGAAATATTTCAAAAGATCAACTTTATGAATTAATCAGAAAAGTTTGAACCAGAAACAATAATATCCAAGTAGTTACCTGTTGGTGTATGTTTATTAACCAGTAATTGTATATCTGTTCAATCTGTTTATATTACCAGGACGAAACGGTCGTCCAGTGCTACCATGTTTCTAATGGTGGTCTAACAATAATCGATTGATGATTTCAAATGTGTAAAAACACAAACCTCCAAAACTCTGCCCCGAAATATTAGATATTTATTTATCACGTAAATTTTGTGAAATAGGCAGTAAATAACATGGTTGATAAGATGACATGTCTAGTCAATTCCTGATATTGACTCATAAGTTAATCCTTATTAGTCAGACAGTTGGACATAGTGAGCCAATCAGAAGCGGTTGAGTGAGGTCATTTGATAACCAACAGAAAATGTCCTGAAGGACGAATACATGCATTTGGTTAAGAAATAAATTTATTTTTTAATGGGATGGATTATATATATCTATAGAAAGAGCATTTGTATACATTATTCGGTAGCCACATGGACTTTGTCTCCTGCAATCGCCTTCGGGAGTTAGCATGTATCACGTACAGATCTTGGCCAATGCACTGAACATCTACATTTTCCAAGTATGCGTCTCTTCAACCATGAACACATACGACTGTGCCGAGGATCAGCTCCACTAACTTTGAATCTCTCTGAGAGCTCATGACGATGAAATCAATAGATTAGCAGCATACAGTGACGCGCATTAACAACTTCGACTGATCCCAACTTTCTACGATAATCAATCTGTGATATTTTTAAACGTAAAACATTATGAGTTGAACCTATCCCATCATTTGGAAACTGAGAAACTTTAAAAAATCTGATCTATAAGAATAATTTCAATATGGTCTACACCATAGAGTAACATCATACAGAATCTCATTAAGAATTAAGAAGCACTAAATAGATATTTTAACCCAAATTGATTATAATTGGTTAACATTTTGACAAACGGTTGAATATATGACCTAAAGGGTACCAACGGCGGAAATGTACGAGAATTTCAGAATCCCTTTATTATTTTACCGCATTTTAGTTTCACAAAAGTTCTAGTTTGCAATGTTATGCTCTTTGAGCAAGAAATACACAGCTAACTGTAGATTATTGGAATTTTCCCCACTACAAACGGATAGGAAGTTTATTATGTTGACCTGGAACTTCATTGTTGATTGTTGTCCATGATTGTATCCATTCAGAAATAATAACTCTAACATCTTCATGAAAAACTATAAGCATGCTTTCATCATCTTACAGTAGTATTCTGTTCATGATTTAATAAAACAAATCATCATTTAACAACAACAAAAAAAAAAAACCACTGACACCATAGTGAGAAGCAAACTTTTCAAAAATTTCAGAAATCGATCTAAGTGTTATATTTACATTGTGATTACAGGTGATGAAAGATGTAAGTGATGAGAAAGACTTCTTCTCTGTGTAATTAAACATGTTTATTTTGCATTGATTTTTTTTGTATTTCTGTTAGTATGATACTTGCAAAAACGAAACAAACAAACAAACAAAAATCATTTTACATTATTGAACATTGAATTATGCACTGCAAAAAAAAACTGAAGAGGTAGAGAATCAATTACACATTCGAAATCACCAATCAATCATTGTTAGGCCACCATTAGTAATCTTGAAGCACTGGACAGCCGTTTCATCCTGGTATGGGACTCATCAGCAGTGCGCATCCACGACACCTGCTCCTCACAGGATTCG